AATTCTATCATATTTTCCTTTTCTTTTTCGTTGAGAGATTCTGTATGGCTGTCAAATATCTGACAGCTATCTGACCTGTTTAAAATGCCATAAAATCCGTTCTGAGTCTTCTCTTCTGAGAGACACGTTGCACAGTTATTTTGAAGGGCCATCCAGCGTGTGCGCGTGCTTATCACCATCTATTTGCTTATTCAAAAAAAAAAAAAAAAGAAACAGAAAAGTAAAAGCGAACATGCACAAAAAAATCTCCCCTGTTTCTGAAAATCAACATAAATATAGGACATTTGAGATGCCAAAGGACTCTAGGACTCATCGTCTCCCTGACAACGGTCTCCAAGCAACCATTACTCCTCAAAGCCTTTCTCCAATCCCGTCTCTGCCTCTGAGTATCTCTCTCCTCAACCCCTCTCTGTGTCTTTGCCAGTTTGCCTTCCTCTCAAGTGTCCTCCCATGTATCCACTCCAGATAGTTATTGTACCAGTGTAAGAAAACACATCAGCCGTCCGATGTGATCGTGTGTGATTGGTTGTAGGCTGTGGCGCTCTTGCATTTTGGCATGAGGCTTTTCTCTACACCTGCTAAATCTAGGGTGGAGCAGAAAGCGGGTAATGTTCAGATTCTTCATGGCATCTTTTTTTTTCTTTAGGTTGTTCTGTCAAAAAAGCTTCTAGTACTGGTGAAGCAACTTAGTCCTAAAGGGGCACTATATGATTGTAGTGATATCCATGCTGATTTTATTTTTGGAACTACATTACTTCAGTAAAACAGGCAGGGCATAGTTATTTTTAGCTGTGTTTTTGTTTTGAGGGAGAAACTAATACCCCGAAGATCACAACACTGTTTTTGTTTTCATCCCAGACTGCATGAAAAATTTGTGCATGACGTAAAAGGCTCTGAAACTTTTCCTGACACAAAACTGGTTAAACCAGTAATAAAATAAGACTTATCCTGTTTTTTATTTTGTTGTTGTTTTCCGCCTTTCTTCATACTTTATGTGGCATATTGCTCGCTAAATAAATCTTCCTCAGGGCACTCGTGGTTCTTTTATTGTTGTACAAGAAAAAGTCCCAGGCAGAACTGGAAACATTAACAATGCTTCAGTTCCAACAATCATTTCATTGCAATGCGGCAATTACCAGCCATTTTTTATAAACTGGCGTTAGAGAAGATGAAATGTCTGCTGTGAAAACGGTCTATTTAACTTCATTTTCCCATCGTCATACGCTGCCCTCTGGAATTACGCTCTGTGAAATTAAATGTTCTTAGCAGTGCGAGTGGTACAGATGAAATTCCATTTACTTCCGTTTTACTGGGCTTAAAGCAGACATCTGAAAATCTGGCCAAATAAATCCAAACTTTCTGCATGGTGAGATACTATTAGGTGTTCAGTCAGTGAGGAGAAAAATCATGCAAGTTGGATGAACCACAGAGCTGCAGTTCCCAACCAAGAACTAAAATTACAAAGTCAAAAAAATAAATAGTTGGAGCTGAGTGTGAGATTGAGTTAGCAAGTGAGCAAAGTTGAAGTTAAAAAGTCCAAAAAGTATGGAGCTACTGAAGCCTATAAGGTTCAAATAGTATTTACAAGTTCTTTGCAGAACATCTTCATACGCTCCTCGGCCGCTTTGCTCTGGACACCTGTTCAGCTGCTTATTAACACACATATGTAAACAGCCAATCTTAAAGCAGCAACTCAGTGCATTCAGGCATGTAGGCATTGTTAAGATGACCAGATGGAGCATGAGAATGTGAAAGAAATGTGTTTTACGTTACTTTGAACAGGCTGGTCTCAGTATTTCAGAAACTGCTGAACTGAACACACAACTATCTCCTAGGTTTACAGAGAACAGTCTGGAAAAGGGTTAAATATCCAATAAGTGTCCGTTCTGTTTGTGAAAATGCCTTGTTGATGTTAAAGCAGAAGGTATTGCTGCTTCAAGTTGATAGGAACGCAACATCAAATAACCTCTCGTTATAGCCAAGGTATACAGATCTCTGAGTACACAACATACCCAACCTTGAAACACCTGGGCAACAGCAGCAGCAGAAGACCACACAGGGAGGGTGCCATTCTTGTTAGCTACAAAGGCAACAATTCACACATTCTTAACACGACTAGATATAGAACACTGGAAATATAGAACACTGGAAAATGAGGAGTCTGAATTTATGTTGCGATGATTTGGGAGGGTAAGATATTGGTAAATAACATGAAGTCATGGATCCATCTTGCATTGTATTAACAGTTCAAGATAATAATGCAATGCAACATTACACCAAAACGATTCAGGCTGATGGTGATGTAACATTGTGTGAATAATTTTCTTGGCACACTTGGGTCTCTTAATAGCAATGGATCAATGTTTCTGCTTCCAGCAGTCTAAAGGAGCACCTTTGAAATATTGTGGAATGGGAGATTCACTCCGTGATTCAATATGAATATATATTAAAACAAAACAAAAAAAAACCCAGCACGCCCCTGCGGGCGGTTTATCCTTCAAGCTCGGGTCCTCTACCAGAGGCCTGGGAGCTTGAGGGTCCTGCGCAGTATCTTAGCTGTTCCCAGGACTGCGCTCTTCTGGACAGAGATCTCCGATGTTTTCCCGGGATCTGCTGGAGCCACTCGCCTAGCTTGGGAGTCACCGCACCTAGTGCTCCGATTACCACGGGGACCACCGTTACCTTCACCCTCCACATCCTCTCGAGCTCTTCTCTGAGCCCTTGGTATTTCTCCAGCTTCTCGTGTTCCTTCTTCCTGATATTGCTGTCATTCGGAACCGCTACATCGATCACTACGGCCGTCTTCTTCTGTTTGTCTACCACCACTATGTCCGGTTGGTTAGCCACCACCATTTTGTCCGTCTGTATCTGGAAGTCCCACAGGATCTTAGCTCGGTCATTCTCCACCACCCTTGGGGGCATCTCCCATTTTGACCTTGGAGACTTCCAGGCATATTCGGCACAGATGTTTCTGTAACTATGCCGGCCACTTGGTTATGGCTTCCATGTATGCCCTGCCTGCTAGCATCTTGCACCCTGCTGTATGTGCTGGATTGTCTCAGGGGCATCTTTACACAGCCTGCACCTGGGGTCTTGCCTGGTGTGATAGACCCCAGCCTCTATGGATCTTGTACTCAGAGCTTGTTCTTGTGCTGCCATGATTAGAATCAGAATCAGAATCAGAATCAGAATGGGGTTTATTGCCAGATGTTGAGGTTTACAACATTAGGAAATTGCTGCGGTGCTTCAGTGCAAACAATAAGAATTAAAGTGCTATGTAGAAAGAAAGATATGTGCATGAGATATACATGAGATATATACATGAGAATAAGAATTAGAGTGCTACGTAGAAAGATATATACATGAGTGCAGGTGGTGATCAGTGCCAAACATGAGAATGATGCAGTGACACAGCGTAGGGTCATGTGTTAGTGGTGGGAACAGTCATAGGTTATTGTTCATGTGTCCAACAGCAGAGGGGAAGAAACTGTTCTTATGGCGAGAGGTTCTGGTGCGAATGGACCGGAGCCTCCTGCCTGAGGGGAGCAGGTCAAACAGACTGTGTCCAGGGTGAGAAGGGTCAGCTGAGATCCGAGCTGCACGCCGCAGTGTCCTGGAGGTGTACAGGTCCTGCAGAGATGGGAGTCTGCAGCCAATCACCTTCTCAGCAGAGCGCACAACACGCTGCAGTCTCTGTTTGTCCCTGATAGTGGCTCCAGCGTACCACACGGTGATGGAGGAGGTGAGGATGGACTCGATGATTGCAGTGTAGAACTGCATCATCGTCCGTGTTGGCAGGTTGAATTTCTTCAGTGCCTCTGTGCTGTCTTTCAGTCCAGCTTTGTCCAGCCACTGGTAGGATTTCTGGATATCAGCCACCTCCTCTATCTGCCGGTGGTACATACCGGCAGGTGTCCCCATGAGTTCCTCGTCTCCCTCCTCTTTCTTGGGTTTCTGCTGCCTGAGGTATTCACTGAGCACTCGGTCAGTTGGGCCATCTTCCGATACCCAACATCCACAATGATGGCGAAACAACTAGTAGCTCAGTGTTCCAACATTCAAAGAAGGGACTGCTCTCACAGCTAGAGATTGACGAGGTACAACATAAATGCTACGGCAAGGGGGAGCCAGGACGCCAGGTCAGGGGGGAGATATCATCACCCCCACCCGAGATTGGGTACCATAGCCCCAAGTGCGATAGGAGAAGGATCGTTGAGTGCGAGAGGAACTGACCTGAAAAATAGGATCATGGCCAAGCTTGAAACCTGGACCCCCGTAGCCGGTTACCAAAGGTGGAAAGTAACGAATTACATTTACTTGCGTTACTGTAATTGAGTAGTTTTTTTGTGTATTTGTACTTTTTAAAGTCATTTTTCAAGTCGGTAATTTTACTTTTACTTAAGTATATTTTTTAAAAAGTATTGTACTTCGCTACATTTTCAATCACACCCGTTACTGAGTAAATTAAAAGAACAAACAAAAAAAACCCAACATTGCGCTTCGGAAATACTGCAGGGAATGATGGGTAGTAGAACAAATTGGCGTTGGGTCACGATAAAGATGGAGTCTGACATCGGTGGTACGGATCCAGCGAAAAAAGAAACCCCGTCGAATTCTGCTGACCCTGAACTCGAAGAAACCGATGTGAACCCCTGGCCGTATTTAAGGGACCATTTCGGCTTCAAGTGCAAGAAAGGCAACAGCTTTATTATGCAGTGTAAGCTGTGTTTGCCCAGAGAGACCGAGTTAGCAGCTTTTAAAAATTCCACATCAAACCTGCGCAAGCATGTAGAGGTAAGTTAAATGAAACTATCATTTGCAACTATCAGAGTTGCAGAAAAGGTGCGATAAAAGTGCTAAGAAGTACAGGGCTGTCTACACCTGAGGCCTTGGAAACTGGCCATAATATGTGTATATATGTATATATATATATATATATATATATATATATATATTATTATATATATATATATATATATATATAGATAGATAGATAGATAGATAGATAGATAGATAGTAAAAGGATATCCTAATAAAACAATAAGGTAATGGCTAGGATTAACATTGTTAGGCAAAAGTAACTGTTAAAAAGTGTTGAAATAGCTAGCTATTAGTTATGGACATAGCTGTATTAGCCAAACCTGTTTAAAATCCTTAGTTACAGAGACACAGTTAAAAATAAGGAATAGATATGTAGCTTGGAATAATGGCTAAAATGGTTAAAATGTCCAAATATCTGCACACTTGAAGAAAAGTTCCACAAAACAACAAAACTTAACTCCTTTGTATTAGCAGTAAGCTAATGTATTTATTGAGTCACACATCTGGCTTCAGCTGACTTGATTGAGGTCTTTGACCTTAAGCGCTGATGTTTTATCCACAGTTTGCATGAGTTACATTTAGCAAGACTTAAAGTAATTAGCTCAAAGCTACAGATAGCCTATATAGTGCTAAAAACAATGGTTAAACTAAAGGCAAATGGTGTGCTTTTGTTTATCTACTAACTCAACTACAAAACTACAAAAATTGTAACGATATTCACTTTCATATTAATAAAATCAATATAACATCACTTTAAATGAGCATATTCAGAGCAGAGGGCTGTGGGAACAAAGGGGTACTTCAGTTGATCTGCAAGATACTGCACAGGTTTGTAAGACTGAAAAGGCTAGGAGTGAGTGCTATAGAAGGATTTGTTTTTTGCACTCTCATCATTAAGCAGGTAATTTATCACTTCACACAAATTACAAGTGTTCTGTATATATGGTGGAGTTCAGGCAGTTCATATTGCTAAGCCTTGGTTCATATTCCTTCCTCCGATCTATTTTTAACCTAAGATTTTGTTACAGGCGCACAATGATGAGGCAGCATCTTTTTTGCTGCTAGCCCTAAATGGAGCCAGTGTCCTGAGAATCCATCTCCCAGTCTGTCCAGAATACCTGCGAGTCATCTGATGGTTTATTACACCATCCCTCAGTGTGACTGACAGCTGTAATGAGGCGCTCGTTTTCTAGTGGCGTCTTAAAAAACTGACGAGACACTCGGACTGGATGTCAAAGAAATCTTTATTTATTCTCAGTGGTAAAGACGAGAGTGCTCAGTAGACGATGACAAACAAGTGAGGAAGTGTCAGTGACGCCCCCACGCTTGATGAGATATCAGAACAACGTTTCCAGAACGTTCTTTTCTGGGTCACCTGTGTGGCCAGCCCCCACAGAATTCAGTCGAAACACACATAATAATAATAATAACAATAATAATAATGATTATAAGAATCATCATCATTCATCATAATAATGATGCCGGTGGGTAAAAAAGGGAAGAGAAGGAATACATCAAACAGCCACAGGTAGATTAGGTTTTCTTGTTTTGTCCCCCTGCGCTTCGAGAGTATCTCAGTGTTCTGTGACTCAGCTTCGATTGAAGAAGAGTTCAGTCTGGTTATCCCTGCCAACGGCTTAGTCCTTACAGCCGTCTTGACCTTTTCTCCTTTGCTTCACATCCTCCAGTAAAGGGTTCTTTGTGCTGATCACTCGTGGTGCGTTCAGCAAAGTTATGGCTTGGGTGCTGACGTTTTAAACCGTGTATAAAAGTCTCAAATGAACATGTGCCACAGGCAGTATCATCAAACACTACTTTAAATCAATATGGGGACAGAACAGTGGATGCAGTGTGGAAAGTGGCCAAAGATGCGTGGAGATGGAGCACTTTTATAAATAGTCTTGCCTTTGAGATGGCGTTGCTAGAGACACTAGCTAGATTGTGCATTAGCTATTGGCCACTGAGGTACAGAATCGTGTAACTGTAAAACCTACAGGATCATGTCTTAAATCGTCTACTCTGCATGCTATAAAACAGGGTCTATAACAGGTATACATTAGATTGCTATCAGTCTCTACGTTATCAGTGCGTGCTACTTGGGTGTGTGTTTATTTGTGACCCCAGTCTGTTTCTCATTTCGTGACATTAAGCGTCAAATCGCCAGTTTGATCCAACTCTCATGCTAATCTTCCCTCGCCGGCTCTCATCAGGTAGCGAGTGCTCCCTGACTCACCCAAGCCAGAGCAACAAATGGAGCTCACCTCCTTATCGTTGATTTTTTGTTCTCCCAAAATGAGTTTCGGGCTATCTGTTCATTGTTTTCTCCCACTTTCTCCTCCCCTGACCTTCCTCTTCGGCGGCTAAATTTCTCTCCTTACACCTCTCTAATTTTCCCATTCCCGTGAGCCTGCTCCAGTCCTTTTCATGTTGTCCCTCCAACTCGATCTCCTTTTACTCCTCAGTCTTTTAGCCCCCCACCCACCTCCATGTCTTTCAATTTGGTGTATGTCTGTGTTCATGTTGAGTGTGTCTATTTGCCTGCATTTATGTGTGTGGGTGTGTGTCACAGTGCACTGAGGTCATGACAGGAGCGGGACTTCTGCCGAAGGATTTTGCTGCCCCTGTGGCGGCTCATCTCCCTGTAGCGGCCTCGATCCCGGTCCCTGTCTCGGCCGTACGATCGGGGCACGAGACCAGCCAGGAAGCGCTTGGCCCGGCTCGTCAGGCTCTCCCTGCGGCCAGCACCGGGGTCACCGTCCGTCCATCCGGGGCCCACGCAGTCTCCCCTCGCGGTCCGCACTGCCGCCTCCAGCAGCTCATTGGTGCCGTGTTCTAAGGAGGCAGAGAGCTCCAAGTAGAGGCAGTCAAACATCATGGCGCTGGACTGGGCCTCTGGTTGGAAACAGAGACATTTGGGAAGCATTTTATAACTAAGGATCTACATAATGTCAGCTGTAGATGGCATTTAGAGGCAGCAGTTTGAAATTTACGGACACTGGATTGTGAAAACAGCCCAGCTGCCGTGTGATGTGTATCACCACGAGGTAGTACTTGAGAGCTCACTCACTGCAGTTTTGAAATCTCTATTAGCTTTCTAAGTGTTTGGAAGTCCTTTCACAGAAAATCGTGACCGGCTGTGTGAGATGGGAGGATTGGACTCTCCCCCATGTAATGTGCTTCTGAAACTGTGCCTGAAAGCTATGGCAGTAACAGAGAAATAAAAGAGGAAGGGGAATTGTGGTGGGTTTTAGACTGCGCTATTTTATGCGTTTAAAAACAACATTATATTTCTCATTCATGAACATTGAGACTAGAAATCAAATTATTTCCTGTCACGTGTCCTGATGTGGCTTACCAGGGTGGCCCACAGAGTTCAAAAGCACTGCAACTTAAGAAAACACAAAGAAGAAATGTTTCAAAAGCATAGAAAACACAATGGAAATAGAAAAAAACAAAGTTGAAGCTTCTTTGAGGCAACAATAATGTGACAGAATGGCTACTAGAAAGCATGGCTCTGCAGTGTTATAAGAATAATGCATTTAAAACACACATTACCTGCATATTTTCCCCCCTCACACAGACACATCGTTGGCTTCTTTTAAACGTGTCTCAGTGATATCATTCGCATGTTTCCCTTTCTGTCACTTCCAAAAGCTGTTCTGTTGTTACTCACTCCCCAAAAACACTTCCACTGTATTTTGTGAGTTTTTGCCATTCTTCTACTTGCTGATTTTTCTAAAGTTGCAGTGCGTTTGAACTCTCAGGGCCACCGTAGTTTACTTCTGCGTGAGCAGCCTCCAACCACCTATGGAGGTTGTGTGTTACTGTTAAAAGACTCGGAAGAAAAGTAAGCCAACCTGGGGTTAGGGTTATGTTGCTTTTCCCAAATTCTACAAAAATACTATGAAGTATGAAGTCATCATATACGAACAGATGCAACTTCATGACAATGAAGTTGCACTGTGATACAGCTAAAATAAATTAGTACAATAAGAAACTTGCAGTCTCTATCATTTACAAATGTTGTTTTTTATCAAGAAATGCGCATTTCTTATTTGTAATTTTATCTGCCTCTTACAGCACCACAAAACTAAGGAATCTTAATTCTACCACAAGGCCCTGATTATTGTGCATTTGTAAAATCAGCATTCACAGGTGAGTCCACAAGGACACAGAGACAGTTGAGCCAAGATGGGGTTAAATGTGGCTTGGGCTGTATAAGCTCAAATCTCTTGGCAGCAGGGAAATGCTTTCTATCTCAGTGTGACTCTCGTGAATAAGGAGAGGTGACTAAGCATGTTGTTGACAAGGCTCAGGATATCAGCTAAAAGCGCCCATCTGTCCCTGGCCAAACAAGCCACAGTGATAAGGAAAGCTGACAGATACAGATCATTCTACAACAAATGGCTTTCTTTGTTAACTCAAATGGCACAACCACTGCTCTCCCTCAACTGTGCTTTAGCTTTTACTCCTGCTCTGCACAGAGCTAAAATCTGAGAGCTCACAAGCAGCCACGTGCTGGAAAGGTCTTTTAAGTGTATTATTGGCACTCACAATAACTGTTTTTAGAAATACACCGCAGGAACTTAAAATGACGGCAGCGGGAAGAGGTCACAGCTGTAGAACAATTATGTTTGGGTTTTGTGAGGACATTTTAGAGTATTAGTTTAGACAAAATGATGTCAAGAGCACAATAATACTCAGATGAAGTGCTGATAAAAACTCAATTGTCTACTCACAATGGATGGAAAACAGCACAAAAAGTAAAGCAAATTCAGATAAGCTGAACCTTTCAATTATGTAATTTTATATTAAGTGTGCCAGAGTGACTGAGGCTCTCCTGAGTAGTTCTGATTCTTCTATTAAATGCACGTTACAATGAACTCTAATTGGAATATTTCTGAACAATAAAAGATTTATAGCTTTTTTTTAGACCAATAATTGCATAATTACATAAATGTGCATTCCATTTTTTTCACTTATCCTTAGTTTATGTTTAATGCACGATGTGTGTTCCATCTTTAGGTAATATCCCCAGGTATTTCTTAAATCTCAGACTCTATTACAATGGCTCTGTTTGGTTCACAGTTCAAAATAGTTCTCTTTTGTTTTATTGTAAACTGCTTCTCTCCTCTTCGCCTGTAACGTGCTGGTTTAACGAGGTGCAGACAAAGACAGGCCATATCTAAAGGTCACCTCTTTACGTTCCGACTGGGTTCCACTCACAAACTGATGCTCTGAGTAGTACACTGTATTGCCAAAAGTATTCACTCAGCCATCCAAATAATTGAATTCAGGTGTTTTGATCATTTCTATGGCCACAGGTATATAAAATCAGAAACATTTGGGAAAGAATGGGTTGTTTTCAGGAGTTCTGTGAATTCCAGCATAGTACCATGACAGGATGTGACCTGTGTAACAAGTCCAGTCATGAAATTTCCTCACTATTCCATAGCCAGCTGTTAGTGGTGTAACGCAGTGAAAGAGATTGGGAACAACAGCAGCTCAGCCACAAAGTCATAGGCCACGTAAAATTGCAGAGCAGATGCTACAGACCTGCAAACTTCATGCTGCTTTCACATTAGCTCAACAACAGTGCATAGAGAGCTTGATAGAATGGGTTTCAGTGGCCACATCCAAGCCTTACATCACCAAGCACCACTGCGTGTAAAGCATGCGGCCACTGGACCAGTGGAGGCGTGTTCTCTCGAGTGACGAATCACGCTTCTCTGTCTGCATGGCCCATGAATGAGTCTGGGTTTGGCGGTTGCCAGAAGAACAGTACTTGTCTGACTGATTGTGCCGAGTGTAAAGCTTGAAGCACAGGGAGATTATGGCAAGGGGTTGTTTTTCTGGAGTTGTGCTCTTAGTTTCAGTGAAAGGAACTCTTAGTGTGACATTTCATGCTCCCAACTTTGTAAGTGGCTCCTTTCTGTTCCAACATGAGTGCAAATCAGTTCATAAATAAAGTAAGGGTCATAAAAACATGAGCAGGTTTGGTATGAAGAAGTTGACTGGCCTGCAGGTTGAGTCTTGACCTCAACCTCATAGAACACCTTTAGGATGAATTAGAGCAGAGTCTGCAAACCAGGCCTTCTCGTCCAACATCCATGTTTGACTTTAGAAATGTGCTTCTGGAAGAATGGTCAAAAATGTCCATAAACATGACATCATACATCATAGGGTGACATCATATTAAACCCTATGCATTAAGCATAGCATCTCCCTCAAGCTGATATGCATGTGAAAGCAGACAAGCAAATATGTTTGGCACTATAGTGTAGGTTTATGGGACCTTTTCCTAAAATAGCTGTGTACTTGAGATGACTAGATATGCTCTCTTTTTTACTTAAAAATATGCTAATGTCATTATTTGAAACTTTGGCAATGATTAAAATGAGCCACCATTCTAGCAGTACAGTGGGGGAGCTAATTATTTTATCCCCTGCTGAATTTTTACACTTGCTCTCATACAAAGAAATGAGCAGTGTCTAATTTTTATGGTAATTTCATTTTAATGGGGGAGGGAGACAGAATATCAACCAAAAATCCAGAAAAAAACTTACATAAAAGGTATAAACTGAGTTTCATATCATTTAGTAAAATAAATATTTGGGTCTTCATCATACTAGAAGATCGATCCACGACCCGTCATCAGTGTTCCAGCTGAGGGAACATTTTATGGACACTGCCCTGTCCCTTGGCCCCTCAATGCGGTGAAGTCATCCTGTACCGTTAGCAGGAAAAACACACCCAAAGCATAATGTTTCCACCTCCATGCTTGACTGTGGGGGTACTTGTGCTGTAGGGCAGGGGGTGGTGTTCTTTAAGTCCTCCTCAGCATTTCTCTTCCTCCAAACATAGCAGGCTGCATCAGTGCCAAAGGGCTTGATTGTACTTTCATCTGCAACGTAGCACTTTATCTGAATCACTTACATGTTCACTAGAAAACTTAAGACAGTCCTGTACATGTGCTTTCTTGAACAGGAGGACCTTGCAGGCGCTGCAAAATTACAATCCAATAATGGTGTAGTGTGTTGCCAGTGGTGTTTTTTGTGACTGTGATCCCATCTGCCTTCAGATCATCAACAAGTTCCTCCTGTGTATTTTCTGGCTGATCAACTACCTTTCTTATGACCATCCTGACCCCACGTGGCTAAATCTTACATGGAGCTTCAGACCAAGAGTGACTGATGGTCATTTTTGTATTTCTTCATTTTCAAATAATTGCACGAACAGTTGTCACTTTCTAACCAAGCTTCTTGCTGATGGTCTTGTAGTGTGTGCAGGAGACTTGTATGAAGGTCTACAATCTTGTGTGTCCACATCAGCATATCATTTGCATCTCATTGGTATTCTGTCTCTCTCCATTAAAAACTACAGTAAAATTAGAGACTGTTTTTCATTCCTTTGTGAGTAAAACTTAACAAATTCAGGAGCTGATCAAAAAATGACTCCCCTAACTGTGTATCAAAGACAGAACATCAAAACAAAATCTGATCATCTTAACCCTGTAAGACCCAACCCATCAAAAAAAAAAAAAAAGCCAGAAAATTCTGATTTTTTTTGGAACTGAGATGTTTATTAACCCTTATAACAAATTCCGCAAAACCCTTTTTGCTATATTATGTTGTGTATGATATATTTTTATTATATATTTATTATATATTTTTGTATCACATTTGATCAATTGGGCATTTTTGGCAACTTTTTGCTAACAACAATGTTCATTTTAGACCAAAAAAAAGAGAGTTTTGGCCATTAAATTTTGAAATTATAGCAAGTATCGATCATGTTGATGAGATAGAGGGCTCAGAAACTCATGTATCAAATATGATACAAAGGGCATTATAGGGTTAACCTTACTTCTTGTGGGACTTTTAATTAAATGG